AGATAACCATACGCTTCAGAGGCGCATGCTTTTCTAAGGCGTCAATTTTATACTAACAATGGATATTTATTTAAGTTAATCTAGTCATTTTAAAGGTTTGGCATTATTGTAAAAATAAAATGCATTTATATTATATTTTTTTATATTTTAAGTAATTTTAAACTTAAATCACTAGACCTCTATGAAAAATTAACAAAAATCAACAGTCTTCGCAGGCGCCTCTGCGACGTAGGTTATCTTTCTCGGGTTAAGTGCGCAAACGAGTGCTCCGATATTCGCATTCTTACTCGCAGAAACTCGTTTCTCCTGGACAAAATTCAATTTTCGAGGATGCACATCTTCGAAAAATCTTTGCCAAATCTTTGGTAACCCTTTGATTGATAACCCTTTATAGCTTGAAGATTCGAGATAAATAATTTTTATCGTTATAGATAATAACTTGTGTGGTAATTAATAGTTATAGATAATTATGTACATGGGAACGTCGCTCAAAAATATTAGATCACTCATTCGTACACTTAATAAAAGGAAGATTATAATCTTCAGTTATCCTCATATTTATATATTTATTTATTTATATTCCCGATTTTATAATATCCTGATATTTCAATTTTTGGAAAAATATCGTATATTGTAAAATATAAATTAAATAACTAAATTCTTTCAATTCAATTGTTTTTACTTAAGACAGTATTATATTATTGCATTTGAAACTTGTGAATTTGTTTTGAATTCTCTTGTGACAACTATATATACTACTTTTTATTCGGTTGTATAGTTTTGCAATTTTCAATGAATGATCCAACCCGATAACTGAATTTCGTTGGTCACGTTGAAACTTCTCATCATGGTCTGATCTTTTTGAAGGGTTCGAGAATTTTTAAGCGTGGACATTGACATAAGCGGGCTAGAGGTGAACCAATGCGACGGATCACCGCAACAAAACAAAAATGAGATACTCAGCAATCAGATAGAATCGTTTAAGGGTACTCATAAGTGTCATAACGACACGACGCAGGTAATACTACCACGAATTATCAGTAAAATCTGACTTCGAAACTTCACGAAAAAATGCGATTCCTTTGTTCAAGTTCTCTTAGAACTACCAAGTTGGTGTACATGTAATTGCCGATTAGCATAGAAAATATTAACTATAAATACTTTTTACTTTTTTAATCGTTCACTCGAACCAGAATTCTGCTAGCATACAACGAGTATTATAATTACTATTTGGTAATTACTACATTCATTTTCATGCGTCATTTTACAAAAATGAAAATTCACGGAAAGTTTCTTTCCTTGACTAAAAGATTACTCATTTTAAAAAGAATATAAAAATTCTATTAGATCTCGCCGATTTATACATTTTCTTGCATTTGAGAAATCTAAATGCACACGTGAAAATTGCAATAATCGTCAAACAAAGTAAGCTTCTTTATTAATTCTATTCAAAATTACTGTTGTTATCGTTATGAAACAGTTCCAGAACATTTTCTGTCGTTACCGTAAGCGAACCGTTTAGGCTACCAGCGGTTGGCAGTTTCATATACACCAATTTCGCCAACTCCATACGCAATTAAGCCATCAAAATGATTTGGCCACGGTTTTCAGTGTGAATATCAAAGTCCGCATAATGTTGGGGTCGGTAGTAGATGGGAAAAGGGTGCGTATATCTGCAAATGTCGGAAGGGCTATTACAGCCCGAGTCAACTTCGGGCTAGCTTCGATGGAATTCTGGTTGAAGGTCAGTGCCGGATTCTAACGAAAACGTTCAGTCTACAATGCGCAAACTTTTATTTCGCAACGAAGAAAACGATTCCTTTAACCCTTTCGCTACTACGGACCACTATAGTGGCTTTCCATTTGGTGCCACTGAGGTACTACGGACCACTATAGTGGCTTTCCATATGGTGCCACTGAGGTACTACGGACCACTATAGTGGCTTTCCATATGGTGCCACTGAGGTACTACGGACCACTATAGTGGCTTTCCATATGGTGCCACTGAGGTACTACGGACCACTATAGTGGCTTTCCATATGGTGCCACTGAGGTACTACGGACCACTATAGTGGCTTTCCATATGGTGCCACTGAGGTACTACGGACCACTATAGTGGCTTTCCATATGGTGCCACTGAGGTACTACGGACCACTATAGTGGCTTTCCATATGGTGCCACTGAGGTACTACGGACCACTATAGTGGCTTTCCATATGGTGCCACTGAGGTACTACGGACCACTATAGTGGCTTTCCATATGGTGCCACTGAGGTACTACGGACCACTATAGTGGCTTTCCATAAGATGCATTATATTGCATAATGTTATTTCCTCTCATACTGTAAATTAAAGAGCGCATGCTAAGACGTTATAAAATACCCTGGAATACCCTTTATTTATAAATACCCTTTGGAGAAAAATTCATTCAATTCAAACAGCTTAGGTTCTCCGCCGACCGCCGCGGAGTACCGACTTCCGCTGACGATCGCCGTCGCGTAGCGTGCAGTGATGTCGCAGCGCTCTGTTCAGCAGAAGTACCGCGACGGAGAATCCGCCCGTAGCGAAAGGGTTAAAGTCGGTTCGCAACATTTTTTAAAGACCGAGGGAACAGATCCGGAGACGATTGTAATTCTTTCTTCCGGTACATAATGTGTTGACGTTTATGGTAGAAACAGTTACGGTAGAGATGTTTTTCCCAAATATGAAAATAATACTGGGTGGCAAATTCTGCTATGGCAAATGCTGAAATAAAAGGAAGGGGGCAGTTTGGACCACAAAGGGTTCAAAAAGGCATACGATGCGTCCGTAGATGATTGCGCATTGTAGGGTGAAATTTCTGTGAAATTACTGTGAAATTGCTTTCGAATTCACGATGAAAAGTCACATTTTCAGCTGCTTGGAAAGAAATGCAGGAGAACGTGAGCGATTCTTACGCGAAAGTGTTCCGTTGCTTGCGTTGCGCGCCCGGATGTGCCAAGTGTAAAGGTCCAGAACCGTGTTTAGCTACTTACCATTGGCCATTTAGGTACGTATGCTACAGAAATAATATCCGCTTAGAACTTCGTGAAAGATTCTGCATGCTGACCAACGTGCAACTAGCGGTTCGGCCGATTAGAATCTCCATTCTACACGAAGAACTGTAGAAAGTAAACATTTCAATGTTACGTTTCGGAGAAAGTTTATCAAAATGTGAGCACCTGTTTGGACATTTTTACTTCTGCTAAATTCTAGAATTAGTATACTAAAATTGGCGACAACGTTAATCGCATGTACTAGAAATTCAAGTTCGGGCGACTAGTAAATTCTTTTACATACATAATTACTTCGTCTTAGGTGAAATTAATAATCTTAAAACACCTTGCAAAAAACGAATGAATTTTTTGTTGGATTATACAGATGTTTGCGCACATACGTTAGAAATATGAGTTTGAAAAGCCGCAAACTAAAGAGAAGATTGTGTTCTTCGCTGGTTTTATTAAACATTTTATTACGTTACTCTCCAAAGATTTATACATTTTTGCAAATTAAAATGGTGGAAACCTTTTAATTATATTTGCGAACCTGAAATTACTGTATCCTCTACAATCATTCTAACAAATATAATGTCTTTCTTATGTTTAAATATTAAAAATTTACTACCCTTAAGCAATTCCTACATCGACGTTCGCTTAATTTTTAAACACCGATAGCTGGACCGTCGAATTTGATTTCACTTTTCAAATGTAAATATTTGCATCGAATAGATGTTGTCGGGAGCAATTTCGCCGAATGAAATTAAACGTCGCAACCAAATAACAGGCTCGTTCCAAATAAAAACAACTAATCCAATGTGTACTTTCAGAATCACCCTTTTATCATTTTCCATTTTCTGTGTGTTCGGTACCATCGTGCTGGTGGCCTATATGTATAAACATCGCAAGCTCAAAGTGTTCAAGGTCGCTTCACCGATATTTCTGTCCATCACGCTTTTAGGTTGCGCTATTATGTACCTCGAGGTACGTATAGAATTTTCTGCACCTGTGTTTACCGTGTTGGAGCAATGTTGGAAGCGTCGCACGGTGTGTTTGTACACAATCTTTCGCTTCCTGTTCAGATGGCCGCCATATTTCCTGTCCTGGACATGTATTCCTGCATCGCGACCAAGTGGACGAGACATCTTGGTTTTTGCATCTCTTACACGGCGTTGCTCATGAAAACATGGCGGTGAGAAATGCAACAAATAAAACTTAGTAGTTGGACGAATTGAAATATATTTTTCACGGTATTCGTAAAATCAACGAAAAATTTGAATCATCCGTCGAGGAGTTTTGCCGAGGTCTGCATAAAATATTCTTTCCTTAGTTCCAGGCTAGTTATTTAAATTTAAATAGTATTTAATTTTATTATATTTCTTGTGACCTTGTATTTACATAAATCTCTCCTCAAGTAATGTTTCAAATACTTTCCTCGATTTAAATAATAATTGCTCTCGTCACAACTTGTTACTTGCCATTTTATTTCACTGATTCAATTGGCTCAACTAAAAGAATTCATTGGAAAATGATTCGATCGTATTTTATACAAAATTCTTATACTCGAAATAAAAATAATGTATCAGTTGCAACGATTCGGAATTTTTGTTTTCACTTCGGCCAGTTAACATCAATGGGTCTGACATTGTATTGATAATAAAATCGTAAATTCTTCTTCCGCAGAGTTTCCCTCACGTACCGTGTGAAAAGCGCGCACAAAGTTAAGCTCACTGACAAACAGCTGTTGCAGTGGATGGTTCCAATATTGTTAGTGATGTTGATTTACCTTGGCACGTGGACGCTAAGTGCACCACCGTACGCCGAGGTGATAGCGGACAACTATGGTCTAAAATTTTATCAATGTTCATTCAATTGGTGGGACCATAGTTTAGCAATCGGTAATAATATTTTATAACATCCTCGCATATTAAAAGAGCAGATGCAGGTAATGTGGAACACAATATTTCAACGAACAAGTAACGAAGCTTCAAAATAAGTGTCCTTTTTGTACACTTCTGTACATTTCTGTACACTTAACTATCAAAAATGATCACTTCATCGCTAGAATATAGATTTTGCTAAATAAAAATTGTCTGCATCAATTGCAAGAAATGTGAACTAAATAGTAAATTCTTTCTTTTCTCGATAATTTGAATAGGCTGAAAATAAAACAATAACATTTTTAAATTCTCTTAATCTTTCCACTATTAACTATTTAATACTTCAAATAGTTATTTATACATTATTAATTTAATTGTATGTGAACAGTAATCACAATTTTATACTTGGATATAAGTATATACAATATTATTTATCAGTTCCATCTCCTCCTCACCTAGGTTTTATTTAAAAAACGTAACAAATTCCTTGTTCTGCTAAATTTTGTAAATCAATTGTTCCATATTACCAATCATTGCTCTATACAATTAATTGTTAACACTAGAACTACCGAGCCCTAGACGTAGCAAATGTTATTTCATAACAATGACAAGATTGGATTTGTTTAAACCTCGTAAAATTCCATTACAATATATTTTTGAATAAATAAGTCTATCCAAAAATTTGTCATTGTAACATTCTTTATAATATCAGAAAAGAAAATAATCTTCGGTAGTTTCAGTGTTGTTAAGGACACAAATATTTATCCATATTCGATTAGAAACGGACCCTACTATAACGTGTTATCGACGACTGTTTTCTTGCAGGAGAAATTATGTTCCTTGCCTGGGGTATTAAAGTGTGCTACAACGTCCGCAACGCAGAAAGCCTCTTCAACGAGGCCCGTTTAATAAGCTACGCAATCTACAACATAGCAGCTGTGAATATAACCATGATCGCAATTCAGTACGATCTTACATTTCCGAAGTACAGTGTGGCTCCAAAAAAATTTTCAAAATCGATCACATAAGAATCAATTTTTTCAACGATACTCAACGTTGACGTTCACTATCGCTATTTTTGTACAATTATTTCGTACTGTAACACATCTTTATGCAAACATCTTTATCATCTTTGTAACGATTTATTTATGTATTATGTTAATAAACTATTATTTTCTTTCGTTCTCCTTCTTGTAGTATTTTTTCTGATATACTTAACTTTCATATGAAAAAATCATTTGTTGTTGATATTCAAATTAGATAAATCGAATTTAAAAACAGATAAATCTAGGTTGTTCAATGCAAAATATCATTATGCAAAATATCGATTGCAATAATGTGATTGCTGTTCGATTGCTTTTTACTTTTCACCTACTTGTTTTTGTTTTAAATGCATGAAATACACAGTCTAACTTTATAAGATGCTTATTTATAATTATTGTTTGCTTATATACTGTAGATCTTTATGAAACATCCAATTTTGATATGTCGTTTTTTATAATTCAGAAAAAAGACAAAATTTTGTCTCTCCATGTCAACAATATAGTCGAATTAACATACAAATTTCGTTAACGCTTGTAAGTGTTTTCCTATTTTTGCTTAGAAGTCTACAGAACTCATTGCAGTTCACAGTAAATCAGAAAATCAATTTTTGAAGCCACTGCACACTGGTGATCATGCCAACTTAAAATCTGAATCTCTTGAACTTTTTAGCGTTTTTATTTTCCCTCACGCCGGGCCGGATATCAAGTATCTGTTGGGATTCTTACGCACACAACTTTCCACTTCCGTAACCATATTTCTCGTATTTGGGCCCAAGGTATTTGAATTTTCATCGATTCCTCATATTTTTGTGGCTGTACAAAATAAACAAACGTCTCGCGTCACAGTTTCGAAAAATTTCAGTTCGTTTTCGTAATTTTTATCTCATAAAGACTATCATCTAAATATACTATCAATTAATGCATAATTGATACAAAATGCATTTTTTAAGAGAAGTTGAGAAATATAGTTTTTTAATTCTTTTTTACCATCCCAACGAATTACAATTTTTTAAAACGATTTGTTACCTATTATAGAGTTGGACAAAATGTAATCTACGAAATGTAAATTATTACAAATTAATTACAATAACTAACGAGTTATAATCGTTAATCTATGAATACAAGAATCTTGAACGTGAAACATGCGACATGCGGCGTTCTTCTTAGCGACCACAAATTCAACAATCGACATCATTTATATCGACTGTAATGTCGCGTATAATTTTTAGGTGATTCGTGTGTTGCGAGGCCAGGGAGACCAATGGGACAGTCGCGCGAGAGCACGTGGCGTGACAGCGAGCTTTTCGTTAAATGGAACTGGCTTACTGCCTGAAGAAACCACAGATTTAATCCAGGAGAATGAAGAGCTTAAAGTAAATTACTTTCACGTAGTTCTACGATTTATAGACATCGGAGGTCAAAGACTGTTTAGTACGCTTGGTACATTTAAGTTCCCATTTAAACTTACAATACCTATTAGTAACAAGATCTACTGCATCAATTTTCATGATATGTACAAGTATTTGATATTAACATTCTATAGTTTAAACTTTTTATATAAGTAAATCATGGTTTGTGCAATCAGAAACCAGGAATTATCAATCACGGCATATAAATTGACAACGAAAAAAAAATCATAATAAGTAAAAAAAATAATAAATAAATCCTTTCTATATATATATATATATATATATGACGCCTTTTTGTTAGTAACAGAACTTTAACAGAGTTATCGTAGAATCACGAGTTATTTCGTGATTGACAGCCACCGTGTTAATAACGTTTATATTTTGTTTATATAATTGGTTTATTTATAATAAAAGAAATGTTATCTGCTAAAATTGTCCTGATAAGGGAAAGGAAGAACAAATCGAGATCAGAAAGAACGATGTCGATGGTTCGAATAACGATGCGTGGAAACGTGATTGCAGGAGGAGATACAAAACTTGGCGGCGCAGATCGAGTACATGAAGATCGTGCACATGCAGATGCACAACCGTCACCTGAAACCGAAAGCCGGCGGCTACTTCAACACCCACGGCCACGGACACACCCATCCGTCCTCGGCGCAGAGCCCGATCGCGAAAAGTTCGACGGCCAGTTTCATATTGAAAGTATGTATCTAAGCTCTGTTGTTGATGTCTGACGCTTGTTTATCGATGTAGCTTGACTAGGACGAGGGCATATTGAAAAATACAGTCAAGTGAATTATTGAGCAGACAGCCGTGGAGCGAGGGGCGAGTGCGGCCGCGGCTGTCGCGGTCGAGGACTCAACTTTCCCCTCTGGGAGCTTGCACAGGGCTCGCAAGATGGAGATCGCCAAGGAGAGGAAAGCCGAGAGGGAGCGGGAACGCGAGAGGGGGCGGGAGAAGCAGAAGGAGAAGGAGAAAGCCAAGCTAAAGGAGAAGGAGAAGGAGAAAGAGAAAGAAAAGGAGAGGGAGATGGAGAAGGAGAAGGAGAGGGAGAAGGAGAAGGAAATAGAGAAAGAAAAAGAGAAGGAGAAGGTCAAGCAGGAGCAGAAGGAGAAGGAGAAAGAGAAAGAGGCTAAGCAGCAAGAGAAAGACACAGAGAAAGAGAAAGAAGCGATGAAGGAGGAGAAAGAACAAGTGAAAGAGAAGGAAACAGAGAAGGAGAAGGAGGTAGAGAAAGAGAAAGAGGCGCAGGAGAAAGGACAACAGGAAAATATAGTAATGACTGGAGAAAATGTCTGACTAGTACTACATAGTGATGAGGTAAGATGATCGCCAGTTTTTAGAGCTTTCGACTTCAGACACGTTTTTCCGGTTCATTTATTTGAACATTATTTTTAAAAGATATTTTTTAAAAATATTTCGACACGGTGGATCCTTGATTGTTCGGGCTAATCGCGAGAATTTCAAATAGAATACTTACTTGAGTATGATACTGGATCAAATGATTTCCATACCATAAATTCTGATAGTCGAGGTTTTATTTTTAAATATTCTAGACAGTGACCAACAAATGGATTATTCGTGACACAAATTACTCGTAAAGCAGTAACTAACGCTTCGAATAAAATGTGTTCAGTGTCCTAGAACTCCCTTTACACGAGGAAAGGGTGCGATTCCTCGGGTGATTCGCAGTAATTTTTTTCCTCGGTGAAAATGTTCTCCGGGACTTTCTTAACGAATTATTAACGAGAGGAACGCGGACCAATCGATCGTTCGAGAGTGCAAAGGATTAATAATACAGCCCTAACTGAAGTTTTTGATCGAAGGGACATCAAATGTCTGAGACGCAGAGACAAATGTAATGATGAAACGTGTAGAGATATTAACATAAAAATAATTGCGATTGCTATCTAATTTTACGAAAATAATTAGCACAAATTTACGCATCGTCCGCAAATGTGCTAAAAATTTATCTTAGGATTCGTACCGTCATTTTTATTTCGTTTCTTCCCATTCGGTTGGTCACGTTGTTAATATCAATGTGTGATTATGATTCGCAGATATGGTTGTGACTAACGCAGTGTGCGCTAAGAAGAATGACAAACAGAGATGTGGTCGTGCTATTATAGAACAGAAGAAGAAGAAAGGAAGGAAATTTAAATTAATCCCTCGATGGAATACGCGACAGCCAAGTGTTTCTATGGACCGGAGTAATACGATCGGTTGATGACGAACACTAAATCAAATCGTTAGGTTTGTATCGTTTCTTTCTGATAACAACGTTTTCTCAGAACTTCACCGAAAACCGATTTCGTTACCGTCAACGGACACCGAAATTACAATGTCGAGTTAACGAATAAAACCACCGTTTACACGTGTGATTTCTCTAGAAACGAATCTTTCCTAATCGTTCGTTTCTGTGCTCATTATCGCGTGATTCTGCACCTTCGTAAGCGTCGCGTCCAAGGAGACTCGTCGAACGAAAATAAATTAGTACGATCCATTGAATACGAAATCGTAAATTAAAGTTACACACTTCAAACATTCCACGGACGGCAATGATTTTATCGTTTATCGAGCTGCGTTGTTTCAAGTATTGTTAGTTAGAGCGTTACTAATTGAAACGAAGACGAAGGAATTCTATAAGTGTACTTGTAAAACGATCGTTAGAGTGCAATAAATACTTTAGCGATACTTTAGCCATTCGTTTTCTTTCCGATTTGCTGTGACTAATCAAAATCTAATTACACCTAAGCTCGCGTCATTGTTTAATTCGGTTCGGAACCGTGGTTTACGCAGCGGTCGGCGATATTCATTTCGATACCGTTTCGATAATCTCTCGAACAATGAACCAAACGAATGATTCAGCCCTTATTTGATACACAGAACAATCATAAGTAACTTACACAGCCCTTCGACACAGTAAATAGAGATCATTGCCAGTACTGTCCACGTTGGCTGCGGAATTTCTGAAACCTTTTCTATGGAAAATAGCGAATAATCTCTGTCGATGCTTATTTTATCTTCGCTTAGATTCTCATTCCCGAGGAAAGAATTTACAAAGTTGATTATTCGTCGTTTCGTCTTATCGATTTCATACAATTGCGTCAATTTGACGTCGAAGGACAGATTAAGCTGTAGAAATGACGGACGGTTCGGTTCACGTGGTACAATTTTTGTGATTAGCAGACTGCGAATTTTATGCGTTCAAAAAATTGATTAGCTGATATATATATATATATATTTATGAAATATATATATATTTATTATATATATATATATATTATGAAATATATATATATTTCAGCTAATCAATTTTTATTTATATTTTATAATATAATTTTTATTAATATATAATATATAATTTTTATTTATATATATATATATGTATAAAAAAAATTTTATTTTATTTTATTTAATATCTGTTTCTTACAATCGTCTTGGAACGTTTTTATTTCGCGTAAAGATCCGCGATCTAGTGATTAGTACGTATTTGGCAATTCTCCCTGGGAATTTCACGTTGTCACTAAACTTTGTAAACTTATCGGGCTCTCGTTCGATCCACGGCTGACGTCGCATAATGTGTTCAAAAGTCCAAGAATCGCATAGCCAGGCTCATGGAAAAGGTAAACGTAAAGGACGAATCGGAAGATCCTCGGACCACCGTAGAGAGCACTGACAATAAGATTCACGGTATCATTTCGGCAAGGAATTGTCATCTCGCGCGCGAGCACGCACGAGCTTTACGTCGACGAATAAAATCATATCACAGCGCGTACCGATTAACAATATAAGATTCGAGCCGATCAATTTCTAATCGATAGCGTTACTTAACCCTTTACTTGGCAAAGTTCCGCGGAGCAGAACAAACGAAAGAAACGTGAAACAGCGTGAACAACACATGGTACAACTGAAGAATCATATGTATATCGACTAGTTGACGATTTATTGCACGTGGTATATGTTTTTTATGCTACAAACAGAAATTCTGTGAATTTTACGTAACGAAACGAATCCAAAGAACTGAAAAATAAACAAACCTGAAAGTATACGTCTCGGTTGAAGCGGAAGGAACAGAGCGGGAACTCGTGTCGTTCGAAAAGCAATATTTCCGACTAAAGGGTTAAACATTGAGCACGAATCAAAAGGATTGCCGCAGAAGCACCAGCGAATTCGGCGATATGCGTTACGTGCAAAGAGTACCCGGAATTTGCAGATAAAACGCAGACTACAGTCCTCGCGCGGCAAGACCGCGCCTTTGTGTTTACGTTCCCCCTCTTACTAGCTGCGGCAGTGGAGCAGCTGGTGAGAGAGGGGGAACGTAAACACAAAGGCATCTTCTTGTCGCGTGAGAACTATACTTGTGTATTCATCGAACTGATCCCGCCGAGGCAGAGATGGTCGAAATGAAATCTAATTAACGATTAACGATTATCGTCAACGTGAAATCATGTTCATGATTAGCTATTGCGATTACTAAGATAATCGAGTAATCATGATAAATGAATAACTTGAGTATTCAATCAAATCGTTGGTCACGATTAACACAGTAAACATTAATCACGTAACGATTACTACTTTTACTCGTGATTTAATTACTTATAGTGATCAATTACAAAATTAATCACAAAATAATCGATTATTGTCCGACTCTGATCCGTGGCAAGATTTTTCTTTATAACTTTTTAAAAATTTGACCGAGTTACTTAAATTTTGTTACTAAACGATGACTAAAGAAACTCTTTCAACAATAGTAACTAATTAGAATAACAAACGGATCAAAAGAACGCACGTCTCTTAACTTTTTCATTCGAGTCTGGAACGACGTAATCGATGCGTTCCGTAGGTGATTTTTGTGCGCGCTGAAAATTGCATCGTTCGAATGAGAAATTCCGAGTACTTTTTGTTGCAGAACGTATCTCAAAGTGCGAGTATAAATTAAGGATGTAAGGATTGCTGCGTGAGTGAGCGTTTGTTTGCAGAGGCGCGCGTACACGTGGTGAAGTTTCCGTTTCGTTTACAAAGACGTTCGCGTTCCACTTGAAATCGTTTCGAGCCATTTTTCGATTTCCGAGAAAAATGAGAAAACGGTCGGATTTCTGTTCACCTTCCGCCGCGAATTGTTCGAATTAAACAAAAAAGACAAAAAAAAGGTAAAGAAGTATACGATACGATTTCCGACGGATCGTTTGAATTCCTTGATTCTAATTTGTGAGACCGAAAGCGGCATGGACACGAGACAGTTGAAAGTACACAAAGACTAAGAGAAATCGTTGTATCGCACAAAGTATCGATAAGTAACGAGCACGTGAGGCATTTTATTCTATGATTGGACCGTAATAATTAAATTTTGGGGATACGTCATAACGGACTCGCATTTTATACGACAATAAGATACAATCTAAGATATTTTCTCGTTATTAATCATTCGAGAAGCTCACGACTTATCATCGCGAGAACGATTCGTTCATTGTGTTTCCGTTCGGGTCACTGAAAATTCCGCATGCTAAGTAATTGATGCGTCTGTTGTTGTTCGTTAAGTGCTCTTGTGTGTGTGGCAATTTTGATGTTGACGTTGCCAAGCGGCGGCGTCAGAGCGACGGATTTTTCGACACAATTTCAAACTGCGTCTACTTCGCCGGAAGCCAACAATCTCGAAGCCCTTTCTCTATTTTCGCCAATTGCTATGTCGATAGTTTCACTAGCTTCTCACGAGGTTCTAATTTAATCTGTGAAATCCGTCGCACCGTGTGCAACAAATTTGTCCGAACGAATAGTAATAATCGAATTTTGTTAACGGCAAAACGATGATCGCGTGAAAAATTCAAACGATTTCGTTGAACACATATGCTGCAGCGATTATTTCCTATCGCATTTTTCGAACATCGAATTTCCCCAATGGAACACTATCACTACGAAAATTCGGGAAACGTTAAACACGAAATAAAAATAAATTGATTAAACCCCTGCAGTTACTATAATAATCTCATAATGCTATCGTATTTACGAAAGCACGTGTGAGTGATCGTTGGACTGCGGATTTTCTGCGTTTGCAACAAAATTGAAAACTATGAAGACGTTAGATGAATTCAACGATGTCGTTATATTGTTTTCGACTTATTGAAATGGTTAACAGAAGAAACTCTTATTTTGCACAAAAATCCACAGTCTATCATAAATCGAATAACCCCTCGAACAAGTTTCCGTTACAATCACGAATGTTGTTTAAATATGAAATATTTTTAGCGGTTGTCGATGTTAATGTTTGTTATTGTTGACGTTGTTACTTGTTGAAATGCTATGAGAATAGTCACTGTAACGTATGCCCTGTATAATTCTGTACATCATCTTTGAAATATTTTCGAAAAATGCAAGAACAGTTTCGAAGTTTTCAGACCAGCGCGAAAATTGCCACACGGTTTGGGATTATCCGTTGAAATAGTTATAAATACGTATCGTGTTGTGAAGTACACGGAATGTTCAATGGCAACGGTATTCGTACATGCCTGTCGAGCTTAAAAGCATGTGTAGATAAAGAGCAATGGCCGGAGGGGATCATTGAATTGCGAATGAATTTAGGCAGCGACTCTTCGGCATCATTTTAGAAGTTTACATTTCCACTGTGGACGTGATTATGATAGGTAAATGACCGCGGTCAGCTCGTATCGCTGTTTGTGTCTAAGGATATTAATCGTATATATCGTCATTGTTGATTATATGACTAATCGACGGGCGTCGAGCCGTGTTTGTAATTAGGGCGTCACCGTTGAACTCAATCGATTCAATAGAAAATTATTCCTCCGTTCTCCTCCGACGAATTTGGAATTAATCGACAATTTTCCGTTTCTTCTCTTCATTCTAAATACACGATGCTTTACTTTCTATAATTGCTAAAATAACTGCAAGTATAATTATATTATATATAATTATATTTATATATGATTATATTATATATAATATATATATATTTATATATGATTATATTATATATAATATATATATTTATATATTATTATATTATATATAATATATATATTTATATATGATTATATTCATTTATAATTATAATATATAAATAATTATAAATATATTATATATAATTATAATATATGAATAATTATAAATATATTATATACAACTATATAATTATATTATAATTGCAAAATAACTGTATGGATTATAATATATACGTGAATGAACAACAAACTTAACAATAAAACGATAATTTCCATGGAAACGTACAAAAAAAAGACGAATGTGTCTCGTAAAGACAACAAAAAATGAAAGATTACTTTTTGCTAGATCATTTACAAACAGTCCGCGAATTTTATGCATCCATTGTAAAAATAAAGACAATGATAATTGAAACAACGGAAACATGCAAAATATTTACGACTGTCTATAACATTATCATCTCGCTAAAATTATTAAAAAAGGAAAGATACTTCTAATTGGATCTTGTTTGCGGCAATTGGCAAAGAAAACGTTTATTTTTCATAAATTCCGCGATCTAGTTACCAATTGCAAATCTGGTTTGGACAGTCACGTACGGAAAAACGACGAAAAACTATCCCCGATCGCGCAGCAAAGAATCATACTACCGAAGAACCGAAATTTCAAAGTCGTTCAAGTTTTTGGAGAAAGATATTCGACGGCCGTCGACTCGTCGAAGGAGAACAGACGAGGAGAAGATAAATGTTTGCGGATTGTCTGGATCGAGTTTGCCTCGAGAAATAGAAGTAACCTGAAATATAAATGCGTCCGCATGCAAAACTGGAAGTACGAGTAGCTTAACCGTAGAGTGGCGTTTATCGAAACTAGCCGAGTTGTTATCGCTTAAGAAATTTAGGATAAACGTAATGCTAAAGGTTAGCCGGCGGAGTCGATGAAAAGCTTCGGACAGGAAACGATCTTCGCTGTCGAAACCCGAATTCTGAGAACCAGAGCTTTTCCCGAAGGTGTCCGTTCTCTATGGAAACAGGGCTGCACAGCTTGCCAACAGAAGCTTCGTTCAGAAAAATGATCGCGAACAGTGAACGATCAAAGTTTCGGAGGATTTCGTAGACGTTTCATCGACTCTGCCGTGTGAAGAAGCATGTTCGAAATATGTAAGTAACGCGTAGATGGTAATCATAATTTGAGAGGAACAAGCACGGGCGACGTTGATCCTGCTAAAAATATCGAAAGTCGAGCGCGCACGGGCGATTCAATTGTTACAACGCGATCGATAAGTTATTCGAACCTTTGACAAAGGTTCATAGAATGACGAAGAATTTTGATCATTTTCTGAATTTAATTTCATTTGGAAAGCTGCACTGCCATTCGGATGTTAGAATAATAAAGAAATTTCGACAGTGTCGTCGGTCCTTTCAACAATTAATTAATGTGTCAACGTAAATTCATGGATCTTCGTGCAAAATGAAGAATGACCGAATTACTTGTGCGACATATAAGTTACATGAGAATGTCTCTCCTCTTTTAATAACTGTAACGAGTTGAAAATAGCGTAAAAATATCCTTGAATTGTTCGAATATCTTTGTATAAGTGAATAAAACAAATTAAGTTACAGTGCTGTTTAAAGGACGAGGTGATCGTCACCGCGCGTTTGGCTTCGACTAATTGGCGATGTTGTTTGCCGATGCGTGAGAACTGCCGTGTGTTGTCCCTAGATGTAACTTGTCGGAAATAAACCGGTCGAGAGAAGAGTACAGAAGGAATTGTGCTTTCGATGTCGCTGTTGTAACTTGACTTAAATGTTAGTTGACGAAAGGAGACGAGGCCGAGGCGTGTTAACGTCGCGAAGCGATGGTATTTAGCGTTTGCTCTCGCAACCGTGGCGTCTCTCGAGGCCGATCTCGATCACGGACAATCCTTGGATCGCGATTCCCTCGGCTACCGAGATCGGAAGCGTCGAACCTAACTGTAAGATACGTTTTAGTATTACGTGTGTCGCGGCGATCACGAGGATTAAAATGATTAACGCTAAACGGAAACATGAATCCGCGACTGTCCCCACCCTGCTCCGAAAAAATGAAGTCTGTGTACAAAACGGAAACTAATTTGTAAAGACGTAATGTATATGTAATTTGTAAAAACATTAATGTATAATGTAATATAATAATGTCAATGAATACATGTAACGGTGAACGCGTTTGACCTGAAGCGATCGGGATGGAGCTCCTCGGTGCCATTGATTTTTCCTGTCTCTCTCTTCGTTGGTCGTTCGTCGCGAACGAACGTTCTCATCCTTTCGAATTGTTTGACGATTCGGTTGTATAAATACTTGAGTCTGTTATAGCATTGTAAAAATAAATGTTGAGTGACCTCATAAATTGTAAGAGGGACGCGTGGCCTTTCGATTACCCGTCATTCTCCCGTAGGATCTTTCTGAACTGCGCGCTTTTCAACGTTGGATCTTTCGAAACTTTCTGTATTCTTCGAGCATCTTGCACGTTACGAATGCAATTCCTTTTTGTTCGATTCAATTTTTTGTATTCTCAATCTGTTTCTCGTATTAAACGGTTCGCAATCCGGTCACGAACATTTCATTGTGTAGCTGATTTTTTCGAAAATTATGTTTGTACTTTACCAAAGTACGTTCCTCGGCTGACGATTGCAGAAATTAAAAGGAAACGGGGGAAATATTAGCAGAAGAAGGGTCGAGTCTAAAAAGACCTACCGATAGCCTTTCAATGGATCTTTTTTACCGACCAGATACAAAGCACAGTGAACTGTTGAACTAATTTTTGCGGTAAAAGAACGCTATTAAATTACAATGTTAATTCAGTTCCACCGAATATATTTAATAAATTACTATTTTATAAGTTTAACAGATGCATTTTATATAAAAATATGTATAAATTGATTGAAAATATCTTAAAAACATCTACCCCCATTTATATTTTGAAGCAGTTCAATCGTATATTCATATTAGTATAGATCATAAACTATAATTCTACTTGTTTAGAAAAAATCTTCAAATCAGAAGACATCGTAATATGTTTTACTTTATATTACATAATTCATTTAAAAAATGGTAAGATTACACGTTGTGCAATCTTTACACATTTGGTCGAACGTTCGCCGTTTCGTCTTATTTTAAGACAACAATTCTCGAGTTTCACGACGTCGGCAATAATCGATTCGAAAACCGAATTCAGCCAACTCTCGGCATCTCTAGTTATCCGCCGATATCTTGTAACGTCGCAAAGATTTCGCAGAACCTGCAAAAAGTACGGAAATCGATAAATGAATGCGCAACGATTGCGTTCGATCGTGGCTGCGTGGAGGAAGAAGAAAAAAAGGTAACAATTAAAAAGGACGTTCACTTTACAATTTATTTACACAGGCTACACAATGTACACTATGAGGGATATGAAGACTCACGGGCGTTCATTTTGCGGACGCCCCACAATGGATTGATTGCACGAAATTCACTCGCAGCTCGCGGTGACAGAGGAAAAAAAAGATCGTGTCACCGACGATAAATTGCACACCGCCGTCGCAGAAGTTTTCACAATGTAACGCCTGATAGGTCGAGCAACAAGAACATAACGGAACAAAATATAGTTTGTACAACAACAACAACAACCGATATTACAGAAAAAACGCTACTTGAATGGCACTGCCGCGCGCCACGGAATACACGTTCGAGTTACTCGAAAGTTCGAACAAAAAAATCAGCTCGTGAACGAAACCGCGATATAAACACGTGCGCGGCGCTAGAAACATTAATCGCATCACACTCGATTGTAAATCAATATTCAAATGACTAGGTAGGTAGCTCGCTGGTTAGCTCGTGCGATACGAAATGTCGAATCGTTTGAAAGGAAGATTTGTTTCTTTCGATCTTAATTTGTTTCTTCCGGCCAAAAATTTCACTACGTCGCAACTCCAAATTAATCGATCAATTTGCAAAGATATCCGACATTCAACCGTGACACGACCTAACGGTTCCGATAAGAACGGATACGCATCGCGTCAAATTCATTGGCAAAATAAGTTGTTCGAAACATTTCGTCGATCGCATCGTCAAAGAAGATCCGTGCACGCTACGTAAATATCAGTGTTGCGACAAACGTTTCCAATAGTATGACTCGATGCGACGTCGACTTTAAATTCGCGATGCCTAAAGAATCGATGACCGACAATAATTTCAACGTCGCGTACGGAATCGTTGACTCTTGAGATATGGACGAAGATAAAGGAACTACTCTACATCGTACAGAAAAATGAGAACCTAATTAAATAAAGTAGAAACAACAATCGATATATAATCTGTAAGCTTGCGAACAAGGATAAACGAGCACGAATGCAAAACTGAAACATGTTACTCCATAGTATTTTTTTTTTAAGCGTCGAATCGTCCCGTTGGCGCTACCGTGGGGGATGGTGGTACGTTTACCACGATGGTTACCTATGAAACTACGGAAAACAGAAGAAAACAAATATACATACACCAAGAGCGTTAGTCGAACGAGGACGTAGTGCAAGTCCTGTCGTCCAAGAAGCCGTGATATTCGTATAAAAGAGAGGAAACGGATCAACAACATTGTTTCGCGTGGACGCCGACCACCGGACGCGATACACGCGTATATAATATATATATATATATGTATGTATATAATATATCATTCCGTTCGTTATTTTTTGTTCCTTTTTATATATGGCAGACATGCACACTTACGCACACGTATATTCTAAATATTTGGACATTTGTACTTGACGTATTTCAATCGCGTGTATAACAAAATATTCGAAGCTACATTTTCTTTTTCTCGAATACCCCATTGGAATAACGGGGTCTTCTCTACGTAGGTATAGTTTGCACTGTCGTACATCTAGGTGCACATCCCTTATAATAACAAATACATCGTACAAACTAACATGACTCGAAGTTAGTTACAGCGTTAGGGCGACGACGCCCTTTGCTACCCCTGATCGAAGAGTCCTCGATAAAACAAGAAGCAAACGTTGTTGTTGCACTTGTCTCACAAAATAACAACAAGTCGAAGGGGACTTCGCGTGACGGTCGATTAGGTTTCTTCGCTTCTTACGTATCTTACGTAAAGAAAACTAAATTCATTCGTTTTTCATATTTTGTAAAACGTTGAGTTGCATTCAACGGTGCAACATTGTAATCATAAGAGCGACCGCGATAAACGAACGCCGATAGCGAACATGCTGAAATATTCCGAGTTCTTCGAAATAAATAATCGTTCGTTAACATACATCGACGTAGACCGACGGTTTTGTGGGCGACCTACTTCCTCGCCAGCACAGTTTTCTTAGAAGGTCAGTTTTAAGACCTCGGTCTATCCGTTGAGGAGAAATAATGCGGCATAAAATGCATTTGTTGCGAGACACAAAGTACGTTCGAAACAGTTAATAGACGTCGGTTCTGCATAGAAATTGTTGGGAATGACTTGAAAGTATAAATAGCCGAAACACGAATTCTGACGCGTCTGTCTCGAGAGAACTATGAAGCATTCGGATATTTAGTTTATAACAGTGTAATTATTGGACTGCGATTCTTTGTGGGAATTATTATTTTCATTGATCATTCTTCGAATATATAAAGAGTACAGAAAAATGTTCTGTATCAATTAGGAAGTTCCTTATGATGATCATAGAATAATGTTGTTTTAATTTCCATCAGTGTGTTCGTTTTCTTGTATTTTACATACTTGACTCGAATAGAAACGTAAATATACGTTAAAAACACCTCTGTTCCTTCAAGTAATTTTCAACAGAAATGGAAGAAACACGAAAAGTATTTAAGAAACGTGAAAATATACTAATATATATACAATAATATATATATATTTTATATTTTACCATAATGCTGTTATAAACTTGTAAAATTCTGCTGCTTATTATTCTGCTTGTTATCCCGAATGCACGTGCTTATAAAAAATTAATAGACAGCGATAAAACATGAACGAAAAGATACTCGGTGTCGCATTAATATTTCATCGCAAAAAAGGTCAAGAACTCTTGCACTCTATTTTCGTTGTAAACAGCGAAAACCGTGTTCACCGTGAAAATAAAGCGCAATCTCGTTCGTTCGATGGAACACTCTTCGCCAGGGACAGCGTATCAGAAATAAGAGGAAGGTACGTAGCTGTGCTACATGTTCTGCAAAAAACGGCTGAACATTCGACTAATTAAATGTGTCGAATGTTTCGTAGGCCTACGTTCAAACCCGCTTGTTAGAGACACGAACGCGCTTTGACAGTTATTAGATAGCGGATGCAAGACACAGCGTTGTAAAAAAGATCATATAAATAAACTCAGGTAAAGCATCGAATCGGGTAACCTGTCGATCAGAACGACTGATCGGTTTCAGAACGAACTTACACAATTATCAACAAAAAAAAATAAAGTTCTATCGATACAACTATCCTACAATATTAATTGTCGCGTAAGCTTACGAAGAAAGTTGTCGCTACAATTTAAAACTTTGGTCAGTCGTAGTGTTTCACAATGCAAACCATACCGCAGTCTTCAAGCTAAAGTATAATTTGGTCGAGTTTCCAACGTAAAGTTCTTTCTCCTAATCTTATCGTCCGATATAAATATCTTTCGCGCGACAGCGGATCGCCGCACGGAATTCAATTTATCAGTACCTAAAAAACAGTCGTCTTGGACTCGTTTAGTTTCTTTTTCATTTTTCTTTTTGTTCTTTCTACACGGCCTGTCCTCACCCATTGTTCATTAATTCGTTAATTCATTGTTATACATCGTAACGCGGGTGCTTCAGGTACTCTGTCGAACGAATTTGTTTGTCGCGTTCGCAACAAAGATGTCCTGTATCTCAACAAATAAATAGACACGCCAGAGCGGTTATACAATCATTTGATCGATCCCTTCGCTGCGATCATCGTTCCGCACGATGATCCCGATTTACACGATTTTACGATCATTTCGTCAATTTTACCGGTTCGAATTATACTTTTGAAAATCGTTAATACGTCAATGTCATTGGCAGTTTTAACGAAGCCGAATCATTCTCGAATTCACGATTCCGATACTGTTTCTTCTTATCACGTCGATGCAACTTGAAACGGTTGAACATCTCCCGAGATTTTCGAAAATGAAACTGTTAAAGGGAAATATTCGGACACTTAACACCGTCGCACAACAATTTCGAAAAATCGATTCGATCAAATTCATGCGTTTCGAATGCTTTTCTATGGTGTGTCTCTGCTGTCGACAATTTTAACAACACGAACTCTCACTGTATCTTTGTTCGTCAATTGTACAGCACCGAGCGAGCACGATATAATGTTAATCATCATAGAAATTCACGATCGACGCACTGAAACGTAGAGAAACGTGAATCATAAATATGAATGGTATAGTTCGCTTCGTTGGAAATCGTGAACGACGGTTGTTATAGCACGAGTACGTATACTAATAGGATTCTTCCGAACATTTAATCGCTGATTCGGATAAATATTCGTAATTTTGACTCGCAAGGGAACTCGATATCAGACGAACACGCTGTAAAGTGCGCGTGTGCTGACGCGACCAAATTGAATGTTCGAAAAAACCAGACCTTTCGTAATGCGAGATAAGACGCGATCCGTGGAATCGGCGGAGAGATACAGCAATGATTCATTATAATGTGGAACACTGAATAGAAAACGCAGAGACGAAGTTTTTCGATGAACGAGATCGTGTTCCCGATCGAGTTCTCGCTCGTTCGTTATTTTCTATCTGTGATATCTTGAACATCGACAACAGCAATTCTGAACTTTACATCATTTTATCCGTCTGCGAGTTTTATCTTTATTATTATTTTTAGGGAAAAATTGCGCATATTTAACACTTTATCCACCGGGATTTTCAATTACCGCGATTCTACTGAAAACAATGATTTTCTACGCGATAATCGGAAACGAAATTATCAGGTAATATTATCGTGGATTTAATTATTAATTAATTAAATTATTATTATTATTATTAATATTAATTATTAATATTATTTTTAACAGTAAATTATAGACTCTCGGATATTATCTCGCCGGTGGATGATGCGTTAACTGCGAAATAGCGTGACCGTGGAATTTGAATTCGAATCCGGAGGATCCTCGATAATATAAGAACCATTTGATAGTCGTTTACGCAGTTCCGAACGTATTACGTTCCAAAAAAAAAAAAGAACGCCCAACCTTCTGATATGGCATGCTCCGTAGATAGTTGAACCGTGAATCGTGAAACGTTTAACAAATTGAAATCGATTCCCGGCCCCGAAGAACATCGATGCGACCGGACAATTGTATAACGCTTGACTCTTTCGCGCGCGAAAGGAAATGATCGAGAAGAAAGTATACCTGGATAGCGACATCAATCGAAGAAAGTTCGACAGTTTCCAACACTCTATATAACAATAAGTATGGATTAGGTGCTTTCCCTTACTCATGGAAAAATATTCCTTGCGAAAGTTTTGTAAGGTGTCAAAGGAAGTTTCTTAAACGGCGTCCTCTTTGCCGTTCCCGACCTGACGATCGTACTTCTCCTTATTCTTGTCGACGTCCATGTCCGTGTCCCCGTCCCTGTCCTTCTCGTCCTCCCTCGGTTCCGCGGCGTCGTCCTTCTGATCCTCAATTTTTCTCTCGTTATCGGCCCCGGCGAACTCCTCGCTCTTGTCCGTCGAATTCGCCGAATGAGATTTGTTCAACAACGAACTGAACTCGCCGAATTTCAAGATCTCCTCCATGGCCGACTGCTCCAAGTTCACCTATCGTGAAACAGCTCTGTCAATTCGATTCTCCTAAATGAACTGTGAATTTTGTGAGCTATGAAATTCAACATTCCTCGGTCATTTCACAGCGAACAGAGAAAACGCGATTGTTCATCTCATTCGATCCGGAAACGACTTTGATCAAAACACTTCGCTGTACATGTTACCATCGTTCGACCTTAGTTTTCGAGATGTTTAACGAGAAAAAAGCATCGTCACTGATACACCTATCTAACTTATAGTCGTACATACCTAACGTATAGTTACAATTACAGTAAATTCTCCCTAATGTTCCTTCAGGCTTGAGCCTTGTCTTGACAATCGGAAACTATAAAAATGAGCCGTTCAAGGACTGTCCAAGAATATTCAATGCCATTTGAAAAAAATAAAGCCGACCTCGATTTTTTATTGGGAAGATAATGCATTTTTTAAATTCAATATTTTATCGCGTAGCCAACAGGAAACCGATAAACGTTCGAAACGTTCTTTTATCAGATTAACAAAGGTGCTCGAGAAATGTGCGCAGAAGTTGAGAAAACAACCTTTACGTGAATATGATATTTTGTTGAGTTTTCCTTTAAATATCACCATAAACGTGACGTTATCATTGTAAATGTAAAGCAGTCGAATTTACAAAAGTGAAATGAAATTTAACGAAGGTGTCTAACCTTCCGTGGTCTGCCCCTTTTCCCTTTGCCCGACGATGAGGTTGTCGATTGGTAGCTGGTATTGGACATGTTGTTTTTCCTTTTGGGCCATTGCAAATGCGAATCCAGATGTTGCTTGAGCTTGTCCTGCCTGGCGAACATTCGCGGACAAATGCTGCAGGCGAACGGCCTTTCTCCCGTGTGGACTCTCCTGTGTCTAGCTAAATGAGAAGCCCTTGTGAAGGCTAGGGTGCAAAGATCGCAAGAGAAAGGTTTGTACTGAGCCCTTTCGGACTTCGACATTAACGGTCTCGATTCCTTCCCCTCGGCCAGTCCCATCCTTTTCGAGCCGATGTCGTTCCTTTTCTTCACCGTTAACCTTGAGCTCTCATCCGCGCTTCTCGAAGAGTCCTGCAATCATTGGTGCAACGTGAACCGAATGCCGCAGCAACGATGCTTCCGAACTTACAAGAACGGTCAGAATAATTCATGCTGCCCCTAACGATGGATTCGTTTCGAAGAGATGGTGAATCGAGCGCGGATTTCGTGGTGAATCGAACGAACGAATGGAATCAGAGAAGCTTTGAGTAAATAATAACAGAATGCGATGACAGAGGGGTGTATTTGATAATTGTATGCTAAAAGAGATTTTTCGGCTTTAGTAAGTGGTTTTCACTCGAAATGGTGTTGATCTGTTCATGCGCATTGCGAAATTAATCAGTTTAGGTACAATGTTTCACCAATAAATATTTGAATTAATTAGTGGCGGGAAAGTTAAAGATTGTTATTAATTCAGGAACAATGAGGGGAACAAATTTGACGATTTTTATGTTGCGAATAATTGGTATTGTATTATTAACGTTGGACTCTTTGACTCTCAGTTCATTTGGATTTTTCTTCAGAATAATAACCTTAGAAGGAAAGAATCTTTTATCTAAGAATAATAACTATTAAAAAATAACTAAATTTGTATTGTAAAAATTGTTGCTGAAATCTGTTAATTTTTTTATTTTGTTCTTAATGATGTATGAGTACTTGACGGAAGAATTTTAAAATCATTAAAAGATCACAATTTTTTAACTGATTTTGTGCAATGTTTGTTATAAAATATTAGTAGTGAAACAACGGTTAATGTTTTCAATTTTGAACACTGTGAAAGATAACTTTAAAGCGGCGAAAATGGTTCGCTCATTAACCTATATCGATAATACACTAGCAAGGTCATTGAAATGTAATTCAGAATCTTATCAATGTTTGTAAACACAGACGTGAACTGAAACAATATTATATAAACGTCCAGAATAGAACGAATCAATATTAACACTTCAATTCTAATTTTTGTTAGAAAACTCTACAAAAAATATGTACTAGGTGACCCACCTCGATTATTTTTATTATCAGTGGACTCATTAAATCTTTTTGTTATAGATGTTAAGAACTTGAAAAATGTTAAAATAAACTAAACTGTGGATTTATGACCAAAATCATTAGACGACAATTCGACTGTATTATGCATAATTCATTGCAATGAATCAAGACCAGAATAAATGCATTTATGCATTTCCTGCTTCTTGCATTTAATCTTTCCTGGGTATTTTATGTTTTCAAGGTCAGTGTTAGGTTCCCCAACATGTATGTATTATAACGCTTTTGATTTCATATTAGGGGAAGATACTTATTTTTCAGCTCCTCTATCAGTTGATAGGCACGAGAGATTATGGCATTATACGTATACACAAAAATGAAACCTTTGATCTTGAAAACATGCTTTCCAAAAGGACAGAGAATAAAATCAAATATCATCATGAAGATGCTCCGAAGGTTTATCACGTGTGACAAAAATACTTTTAATTGATGCTCTAATGATAAAAATAATTAAGACATTATGTGGATCACACTGCACATGATTCTCAATTAATTCTTTAAATAAAAGAATGAACATTTCTGGTCCATCACAACGGTTACGAAGAAAACTGTTACAGCAAGTCTCTTGTCGGTGACGTTTTGCAAAACTGATTCAATCGCATATTTTCTCCAACGTTTACGAAATAGAACATAACTTGCGAGCTGTGATAGTAAGTTCATCTGGGAAAACGGGGACCAATTTTAATTCTCGCCGAACTTAATAATACATGAAACATCAAATTGTCAAGCATTGCCTAAATATTTTTGATACCCAAGTTTACGGAATCGTAACTTTCAAGATCTCTCCAAGCCGAGCGTGTTGCCAATGAACGACCCTAAACGAAGAAACAATTTCAATTGTATTCATCTTGTCGTACCATACTCTCGTCTCGTTCTTGTAAGTCGTCGTTCATCTGTATGTCCGGTACCGTAGGATCAGAGGATCCGTTGTTGAAGTTCGGCTCAGATTTGACCGCGGACGACTCCTCGTACATTTCGTCCCTGGACGTGTCCTCTTTCTGGGCTAGCCTCTCCTTCGACCTGTACTCTTGTGGCTCACTGTTCCTCGAGGTGCGTCCGACGGACACTCTTTTCTGACCTTTAAATCTTGTTTCCCGTTTGTACATCGGCGGCGGCATGCGTCTCTAAACAATGCAAGAAAAAGATATTAACAACATTGACCATATCGTTAATATTTCTAGCAGCGACCGTTTCTAAGGACACCGAGTACCCAAGCGAACCGCTAAGTTGCTTGAGTTAAATTCAGTAGAATTTTATTCTCGACTATAATACAAAAAATAACTATATAATAATAATTACAGTAATAAATATAGAAGCTATGTAAACTATTAAAACATTATCTACCGGCGATGATATTTTAATTCTCGAAGGTCTACAATTTAGAATTGAAAACATCTTAATAAATTGTTTTCAAGGATTAATTATTTCAATAGTTTACCAAGAAGTCGTCTGCGATAACGTTATCCGATAATTTCGTTCGAGATCATCGTATAGAAGAACATTGTTTAGATTTCCCTTAGTATGTCGCAATAATTGCAAAATTCTATTAACAGACTTCCGGTAGATAGAGTGTTCAGATAAAGAGATGGTTAACGAACGTATTTTCCTCGAGAACGCAAAAAACGGTAAAACACAATCGCGTAAATCAACTGGCAATAAATTTTGATGAATTTTATAAGAAGCGACCGATCGATTAAAACGTTCCACGTAACGTAATGTAACGTCGACTCCGGGATGTAAGAAAATATGCAAAAAAATTTCAAACAACCTCGCGTAGTTTAGCTTTTTGCCACGGGTTTTTCACAGTTATATTTCCCCGTGTCTACCAAGAAATTACATAATTCGCAATTAATAAACCAGCGAGACGTTAATTCGTCGCAATCTCTTTCAATCTTTGCCTTTTCCTCCACCGTTGATCGCAGAGATCATTCGAGAACGTGATGTATATTGGTGAATAATTGCTCATAATTCGATCGTACGTTTTTTAAATGTTTCTCATCGATTTCGTCTTCGACGAACTTCGTTGGACCATTCGTGTCACGAGCATGCCGGAATATCGCGATTCTATGCACCTATCCAGAAACTTCTTGAAAACTCGTTGGTCTGGTGATCAAAGGCGACGAAACGAGCTCGTGTTCCTTTTTCCTTCTTTGGCCTTGATTAATTATTAGACGATGGAGAAAAGGAAACGCAAACCGAACGACGGAACGTGTCTTGATTAAGTCAACGCTTCTTGTCCCTTCTTAAAGCAATTGAACTATGCACCCGCCTGATCAATCTTAGCGGACTATTAGTATTGTCAGTCGATTAGTATACAGTATACGTAATGCTTGTTGCGCATACGTCGCTTGCAATAATCAAGGATCACTCGTGTCGACTGATATTTTTAAAGTATAAAATTGGAAAATCTGCTGTACAATCCATGTGAAAAATCGTCACCTTAAACAGTTTTATATTGAACTGCTCGAGACTATATTTGTGAGAATTTTTAGCCGGTGTTGTCTTTTATGGTAGTGTTACAAATAAATGCAATATCCCGAAAAATGATTTGTACACTCAAGAAGTTCGAACGATCTTAATAAAGAAAATCATTGAAATGATAATATTTTGGTTTGGGTATATATACACACGTGTATACATACACACGTATACCGCATGACGATATATAATGTATGAGCATGTTAATAAGCATCTATTTGCATCTCTCTGTTTAAACATAATTTCGCGACAGTACAAAATAAAATGAAACTATCAGTTATGTCGTCGTCCTTGTAAAAAGTTATGCAGCTCATTCGAGTACTTTGGATCTAAATATTTAACCTACTATTATATTCATTTATTTATAACCGCGTGCCTGCTAACTGTATTCATTTGCATCTTCAATTAGCGAAGTCTGTGTTTTATTGTACGGGAACAACGTGCGTAAGAATGTTATTAATTCACGAACTTAGTTTTACTCCACTCGGTTATGACAAGGTTACTAGACAACTGTAATCACGAAATGGATATGTACGATATAAATAAATTGTATTGATAGTGCATTGAATTTCAACAGAAACTGACTTTTTGGTTTCCGCGAGTTTCATTCCAACAATAAGATAAGATAAACCGACACGCCCTGATCGCCTTCAAATGTGAGTAAATAATTTCATTCTTTATCTCAATTCACACAGAACGTAGGATACTTTACTTGAACTGTGTATATCGTGTATACTAGGTGAACAAAATAACTTGATCGTATTTGAACGCTTTACATGTTCTTGATAATATGAGAAAATTTCAAGTGGTTTATTTGTCAATTGTCAATTGTCAATTGTTTGGTGTATAGAGGCGATCTTCTTTTTATTTTTGAAAATAATAGTGTATAATACGTTTTTATGATTATGACGTAACAACTGAGATCAAGACCTATCCAATAACCTATAATCTTAAGATTACGTCAGGGTTATGTGCAGGTTATCTTATATCGCCAATTACGACAGCGGTAGATGTAGGTTTTGGGGCCCGGGGTTACAACAGGTTGATTATGTCAAAGTTATGTCAAGGTTATTTAAGATCAAGGTCATATAAGATGTAATCTTAAAATCAGAAAAAATTGGATCTTAAGAAACGTTTTCTTTTTGTCGCAACATTTGGCACTTCAAACCCAAAAATTACTTTGACATTCAAAGTGATTCAATTATTTTGTTCGCCCTGTATATAGCCTCGTGTAAAAGTTTAACTGCGTTTTTTATATATATATATTTGGACTTCATTTCAATACTGTTACGGAGAAACCGGATCAATATTCGTATCCGTTCTCCTGTTTCCTCTGTAATGATATTTTAGCTGTACAACGTCGAAAATACATTTTGAAATACAATATTGCCTCGTGCAAATTTTGTAGCGTAATTAAAAATGAAATTTGGTAGTAACATCATGTGAACTATATACAGAATGGAACGAGAAAAATCAAACGAAATGTATTTTCCAAGTAAACATAAATACAACTGTACCCGAGTTTTGACAAAAAATTATTACAACGGAGGCAATATCGAAAGCTAACGAGAAAATTTAATGGTTCCAAAAACTGCCGGAAAATGCAGCCGAAAATTGTTCTTTGCCAGAATTCTGGTCCAATTTATTTATTCTTGTGGCCAATTATAACATATATAAGATTTTCCTATGAAAAAACCTATAAAATTCGCAATATATTAAGAAAGCGTCAATATATACACAAATATACACAGTTTTCAATTTTCATTTAATCTAAATTCAATATAAATTTTCATATTAATATAAATGTAACATAAAAATTGTCATTCACAGAAATGTCATTGAATTTTTTTAATTTAATATGAATTTTGTTACAAGTGATTGCAAATAAGCATATTTAATGTGCGAAAGGGTGAATTTCACTTGCATACAGGTGAATAAGATCTACGAGAGAATTAATTTTATTTGCACGGAGATGAACATGATTCACAAAAATGCTAACTTGAAGTGCAAAACCTGTATTGGCAAAAATAAATTTAATAAATTTAACCTGAGAAACGAAATCGCTTTCCGAACGAGCTATCATATTGTGGCAAACTCAAAACCAAAGTAGAAGAGACATATCGAAGCCTGTAAAAGGCGAATATACTCACGATTTGCGTATCTGTGGTCCGTAATGGTTCGTCGAACGTGTCCTCGTGGCCATCGATCACCATCGGATCGTCCTCCACCTCGATCTCTTCGACCTTGATGTGGTCCTCCAGCGACTCCACGGAAGACTGTTTCGGCAGAAAGGGAATCACGGAGGGATCCTTCATGTACTCGGTCGTGTGAACCCTTGTCTCTATGTGACACCGTTGCATTCGCGTTTCCACCCTCGTGTAAGGGCTCCGGCTGTTTTCTTGGTTTCTGTGGTCGCCCGAGAGCCCGCGAACTTCCAGGTCCGTCGCAGTTTTTATCAGGGACGGCAGATGTTCCTCTGCCACGTCGATGGAGCCCCGATACATGAAGTCCAGCAGACACTCCATTTCCTCCACCGCCACGCCTGTGAATTACGATTTATTCGGTGTACAATTAATCCTCGAAATTCTCGTGCTGAATCCCTGAACGCAAAGTCATTGCACTTGCTTTCGCATGACTGCGAACATTGACGTCGTGCAATTCCCTCGTGATAGAAGCTGTTTTGCGCGCATAGAAAAATAAAATGTAGTTTTGAATTTAATACAGTTTGACACTATTTTTACCGACACTTTGTGTTATACGAGTTACTGAATTAATTTTGTGGCGACTGCAGCAAAAGTAGAGGAAAAGTAGAGGAAAAAATAGAATATAGGAAATAATTCTATTAATAAAGATCAAAAGACGTCCTGTAACCCCTTTGGTGAAAATTGTGTTAAACGGAAAGTTATTAAAAGGTGTCTTTTCACAATTTCCGTAGAAAAATCGTGTTAAGGGACATTTTGTATCCGTGTAAGAAAAGGGGTTTAATGTAAAATAATGCAAAAATGAAGTCTAAAATATTTGCGAAAGAACGTTGTTAGAACAAAAATAGGCGTTTAAAATTTTGTAGACATTTTTACACCCTCTCTTAAGCATTCTAGGGTTAATTTAGTGTGCCCGTGACGTAGACGGACATAAGTGTTAAAGAGTTATTAATTTTTCGAAAATTGCTAGCATCTAGAGACCTTAATCTTTAGGTCCTTATTTGTCGACTTTCTATTTTTTCTGAACGCACACCCTTAAATTGGTGACACTTCTAATAAAAGTTGTCTTCTAGTAAAAATAGGACACAAGATACAGGGTGCTCGGAAACCTTTGGACCAAACTTATACTATCTGTTATTCAGGTCAAATGGATGAGAAATGTTTATGTAACCTTGTGTCCGAAAATGTTTGATTAAAAATGTATAAGCGTTCGAAATTTATATAAGCGTTGGTTCCTAAAAATACGATAGAAACAAGATAAATTTTGCAATATTTAGGAAACGTTTGGACGGCATTGTAGCATGCACAATGCAGTTCTAAAAAGCGATCGTCTAAACTTGTTTTACGTTAATTAGGTGAATCTCTTTTCGTCGAATTAGTCACTGGCCGTCCAGTTGCTAAATCTGGTCCCGAGAACATTCTTGGATCTCGATTCGAGGATGGTCAAGGAAATCGACCTTTTTCGAGGGTTTCAGGTGACGTTTTCGGCACGCGTGCGCTCACTGTCACTATTGTCAGCGCGGACAGCATTAGAGCGCTCTGCGGCAGAGACGTAGACCCGGCCTTAGCCAGCGTTCCCCTTTTTCCGACTGGTAATTCGTAGCACGCGACCCGCTGTCTGTCACTGCGGTCAGCGTCTCTCAATTTATGTTTATTTACGATGACATTAAGCTCAATTTAGAAACAAATGAATGTTGATTTTAATATAAGTCGCCGGCACGGTTAAAAATGGAAAGCAGAACGAATATTTGACCCGTTCGGAAGAGAATTCTGATTCAAAACAAAATATCCTATTTGCATATTTCTACATTAGGAATAAATATGATAAATATTTTGTTCAGCTTTCGTTTGGATATAAATAACAATGTAAAAGTTGCTTTGAATCTATAATTATGCACATCGCTGCACTTTGGTTCAGAATTATTAATTAATATAGAAAAACAATGTAGGCGTTTTCATCCTCGATTAGGCGACTGTTCGGGTTTAGCTCTGATTTAGCTCAAAAGACTTCAAATGACACACGTTGTAATTAGTTAATTCAAATTATTAAGAGTCTTAAATAATGCCTACGGTTTCTTCTAATTGAGACAGAGAATCTTGGTTTTGTATAAAAATCTGCGATCTACTTTCAATCAATTATCTGTCACTTCATTTAATATCTTTTTATTTGTTACGTTGATGTATCCTTTGAACTATGAAATCTAGTTATTCAAGTATTTTGAGTTCGGATAACGGATAGGCTCTCGGATACAGACGACAAACAACTGGTCACTTCCAGTCATTGTGTGCATTTTTCAAGGAACAATTTAATTACCCCTACAATCCTATGTGTACCACCAATAGTGTACATCACGCTTACATGTAATTACAGTAATTACAAGTATACGTAATACTAACGGCTTGAGTGAAATAATCTGAAAACTAGTACACGTATACACATATGTATACAGGGCGATCCACCAAGATCTGTCACCTAAATTTTTGGAAACGTGCGTTGACCAGAATTGGCAACAATTTCAGCATTTTCTACATTGAAAATATAAGTTAATCGATATCTCGGTAAATATTTAATTTTTAATCCATATTGTCTAATAGTTTTTCACTTAACTTTATATATATACATACTCTTTCCAATAGTCGAACCAGATTTTGTTCATTGCGATTAAAAAAATTAAAAGCGATCTTTAAATCTCGATAAAAAAGCGACGTAGAAAAGAATTGACTATATCAACGTATGGTCCATTCTATATCCCGAAACTTTTGTTCGAATCATTTTTTGATAGAAGAAACGGTTTTTATGCGATTTAGGTTGACAGATCTTGATGGACCACCCTGTACACGTAATACGATCATGACATATCTTTCTGCAGTTGAGGGTAAGCTATTATGTATTAATACCAGCCATGTGTATTCAATGTAGTATTGATTTCAAGCAGGCAAACAGTTTTCAATTAGATCGTGAAGTTAGAACCGAAAACAATCGGCTATTGAAGAGATATACCATCTAACTATAGTCTTTAGATATGTATAGCATTGGTAACCGTTACTCACCTTTTAAAATAAGAATCGGTTGTTCACCATAGTGCTCTTTGAAGACTCTTTCGAAGTAAGGGCTACATGCTGCCAAGACCAATCTGTGTGCTCTCAGCATACCACCCTGGCAGGCTAAGGTCGTGTCAGTCAAAGAGCCACTTTTATATAGCCCTTCAAACAATCCGGACAAGTTTGCCAGATGATTGTTCCAAGTGAGATTGAACGTCTTATCGCCCATTATGGTAACACTTCAAGTCCCTTCTGCAAAAAAAAAAATACGAAACCATCATTTTGCACGAGTCAGAACGAAAACTGATATTGCACAATATTATTTTAGCTTCGAGTGTCTGTACCTGCTTAAGTATTATAATTAAGGTTATTTAGAATATACATACACACGCATCAATTATTTTATTTACATACACCATTCCGAAGTCAAGATTCTTGGACCCAATACTACAATTGAATTTCTCTTTACCAATTTTTCGTCACTTTAATACCACCAAGAACTAATTCAAATCGATATTAATTTAAGTAATATTTTTATTTGTGTGTGTGTGTGTGTGTGTGTGTGTGTGTGTGTGTGTGTGTGTGTGTGTGTGTGTGCGAGTGTGTGTGTGTGTGTGTGTGTGTGTGTGTGTGTGTGTGTGTGTGTGTGTGTGTGTGTGTGTGTGTGTGTGTGTGTGTGTGTGTGTGTGTGTGTGTGTGTGTGTGTGTGTGTGTGTGTGTGTGTGTGTGTGTGTGTGTGTGTGTGTGTGTGTGTGTGTGTGTGTGTGTGTGTGTGTGTGTGTGTGTGTGTGTGTGTGTGTGTGTGTGTGTGTGTGTGTGTGTGTGTGTGTGTGTGTGTGTGTGTGTGTGTGTGTGTGTGTGTGTGTGTGTGTGTGTGTGTGTGTGTGTGTGTGTGTGTGTGTGTGTGTGTGTGTGTGTGTGTGTGTGTGTGTGTGTGTGTGTGTGTGTGTGTGTGTGTGTGTGTGTGTGTGTGTGTGTGTGTGTGTGTGTGTGTGTGTGTGTGTGTGTGTGTGTGTGTGTGTGTGTGTGTGTGTGTGTGTGTGTGTGTGTGTGTGTGTGTGTGTGTGTGTGTGTGTGTGTGTGTGTGTGTGTGTGTGTGTGTGTGTGTGTGTGTGTGTGTGTGTGTGTGTGTGTGTGTGTGTGTGTGTGTGTGTGTGTGTGTGTGTGTGTGTGTGTGTGTGTGTGTGTGTGTGTGTGTGTGTGTGTGTGTGTGTGTGTGTGTGTGTGTGTGTGTGTGTGTGTGTGTGTGTGTGTGTGTGTGTGTGTGTGTGTGTGTGTGTGTGTGTGTGTGTGTGTGTGTGTGTGTGTGTGTGTGTGTGTGTGTGTGTGCGAAGTAATAGCAGCTGGACAGCGAGTTTGGGTCCATTTGAACACCCGGTATAAATATTGTTACTTGATTCTTTAGTTTCTGCATTATTAATTAAAATTAATTAAAATTTCCGCATGTTTTATGGAGGTCTATGGAAAAATGAACGTATCCAGAAGGTGTACCTTGAAAAATATGTTGGAAAATGTTGCTAAATAAAATTTTTAGTTAATTCAGTATAATTAAAATTTATGATATATATATGTTATATTATATAATATATATTTTTTTATATTATATAATATATATTAAAAATTTATAATATAAATAGTATAATTAAAATTGTTTAGGGTTGAAGCGTCAATTAGGGAGACTTTACTGTACATGTAGGACCGACATCATGGATACGTAGTAGCGAAAGTGTTAATAGGACATTTTTTCCGATCCAATGCTGTGTCCAACCATACAATAGCGATTCAAACAATTTTTGGTGGGCAACTTCTGCTAAACAATGAGCCAAGTAACGGATAGAAATTCATTGTGGGCGGTGACACACTTCACATCGAATTACAAGCGAATCCCTTTGCACGACGCCCAGAACTTTCTAAAAAAAACACACATTGCGATTAACGCAGTTGAACATCGGTGTGCGCGCATGTTGTCAGAGTTTTTTGTATCGAAGTTCCCGAGACGGGTACCACGCGAATTAAGTGGGGAACAATGGGAGTATGCAACCGCTTCTACGCAGATTAATGACTATCAAACTGAAGTTTAGGGAATTACGAGATACAATTAAAACGAAGTCGCAAATCTGCCGTTTACAATAACGCGTATTTTGATCTCAAAAGACTGTGCTGGTGGTGGAAAGCGCGGCAAGAATTGAAAACAATTAATTGGCTTACTAAGAAAGGCGATGGTAATAAATTGGAACAGTGTTGTTTAGATAAAATTAATAAATGATGACCCTCGTGAACGATGAGAAAGAAGAACTCAATTGAACCAATTATGAAAGAAAGTATTCGATGATTAACATTGTAGTGATTCTGTTGACGTAATACTTGTTATTAATTATTATTATTTCGATCCATATTGTCATTATAATATTTACTAACTCTTCAAATATTTTTTCAATTTCTTTCGAATTTACAAAAAGGTTATTTAGTTACGCTTGTTACGCTTTATTGAATTTAAGCAACATTTTCATGTAATTATATAATTTAACAAATTGATACGATTTAATTAATTACAATGAAACAAACTCTAGGAGATACGATTATTTTTTATATAATATGTGACAATCGGTAACTATAAAATAGTTATATATAATAACTATAAAATGCATCCCAATCTGAGCGTCAATTAGGGAGAATTTACTTTATATTTCGTACTAACAATAACAAAGTCTAAACTTCAAGGGAGATGTATTTTTTACGTAGCAGGCAAAAAGAAGTACCTTATCGCTTAATGGACCGAATAAATAATATTTATTTATTTCGCATTCGGAGTTGTCACTTTTTCGCGATCTGATATAATTGCGAAATTGTTATCAGCAAAATTCGACCATGATCACAATGAAATTGGATACGCAGCGAGACGGGCGACAGATAGCCGAGTTGATAAGCAGGTAACGATGATGTCATTCATATTTATAAACATAAACAGTGTTACATTGATTCTACAGAGTGCGGATAATTATCTTTAATTAACACAGAATTGATGGGTAAATGAATTCTAAATGGACCCCAATTGCAAAAGCAAATGCGTAATTGGATAATATTGTTACCGCAAGCAAGAAACTTTAAACGAATTAAATGGAACTTGTCGAATGAAGTGCAATTTAATATGAAGCTATTATACTATCTCAGAGCTCATCAAGGACGTATTTTGACTTCGCAGTATGCTAATCCAACAAATACATAATTTCGTTTTATATGAGATTACAATGTAATGTCAAAAATATATAATGTATAATAATCCAATAATGAAAATTTATTGGATCGAACTCCATTTGCGTGAACATTTCAAATTATGTATCACAATCTGAACGAAATCTTTTCCAAATATCCAAATTTCATTCGAATTGGAAATTGATTAGTTCGCTCATTTAGCAAATACGTATTGTTACAGAAACACAATTCCAATATAAATGTTTCTATGTCGTGTAGAATATGCGAAAAATTTTAACAGAAAATAAATTACGAAGCATTAATTTAAAAAGACGACCTGTTTTTAATTAAAGCTACTAACCTCTATACAATAATAATGATATTTTCGCTTTCTCGTATTGGATGTTTTTATAGAAAAGTCCACGAGGAAGCAAAAAACGCGGTACATAGATGTTGTTCTTGCAAACAGGAAAAACTCATTGGAAAACGAGAATCCGCTGACAAATTGTATACCATTCGAGGATGGTTAATTACGGACTGTAGCACATTTCCCAGCTTACCTACAATAGTTACGTCATAGTTGAAATACTAAACGATAACGACGGTACGTCGCTTTAATTGACACGTTACGCGCAATTATTCTAATTTTCTTCGTCCAGGCGCTCATGTAATACCGAACAACATAATAATTACACGTAACTCGGGAAATTCGATGCTGCTCGAACATCTACTACATAAAATCATCGTGCACTTAAAACAACAATACAATACTATCATTCGCATAGTTGTAATAAATATTTAATATATAAATTTAATATATAAATATAATATTTAATTTATAAAAATATATATAATACTTAATATATAAATATAATATTTAATATATAAATATAATACTTAATACATAAATATAATATTTATATAATATTAATAATATATATAACGTTCGTTGTGCAATAATAACAACCTAGACACTTGTTTATTTCTAGGATTAATTATCAACGAGGAAACGTGATTATTAAAATGTTTCTCCGTTTACCGAGTGTAAACATTTTACCGAAAAATATCAGCGCTCTCAATAACGAACACGTCAGATCCATCTAATCACAATCCAATTAAATTTTACGTTACAAGTGATCAGAAACATCTGTAAGTCAAATTCGACCACCATAGAGGTCGAAGCAAAGTATACAGCGAATAACAATCTGACGGCAACTTCGACTTCTCAATATTTCTCCCAGCTACTTTTCAGTTCTTGGAAGCACGCGATAATGCACGAAAGTGTATTATACGCGATAAACCGATGTAATAAATCTTGAAACATTTTCCAAAGTTCGTACGCCGAATGGAAGGTCCCGAGGTACCCCGAGGGACCGAATCCAATTATAATTAAAATTTATATTAAAAATCCATTGTAATTTAGATTTCTGTGTGAACCTAATATATGTATATATATGTGCACGGTCTGGGTCATACGAACCCGATGAACCATAGAAGCCTTAAATAAATTGTTTCGGTTTCAGATTGCTGGGCCAGCAGTCGCAGCGCCGAGCAGACTTCCCCGGTCAACCAACAATTCCGAGCGAAACTCTTCCGACCGGCCAGCAGAGATCCTCGAGATACAGCATTTTCAAAATCGCCGGCCAAAATATAACGGTGCTCTCGACAAAATATTACAATCCAT